TGAGAAACAATCCAATTTTACGACTTTAAATTTCGAACTAAATCTTCTGCTATCGAATACGAAAAATCATGGAGAATTTAAGTTTTATGTTGACCAGTTTCTAGAAAAAAAATAGAATTTCTAAGGAAGTCTGCAACGTCGCAAATGGAGAAACGTCGTCCCTCATTTTGCCCGAAAATATGTATGCATAAAATTGAAGGCATTATGACTGGCCTCTCTCAACTGTTATTCGTCTGTAACGATAAACAATGGGACGCGTTCGCTACGGCGCCTTGATACAACTATACAGCCTCGACAGATGTCCGTATTGCGTTCATTAAAATTGAAGGCGTTTTGCCTTCCTATGCATAATGCCTGTAGTTGATTCGATCGACAAACGCGTTGGTCGGCGGTGACGGGGACTTGATGCAACTATTTAAGCTTGTTGGGTGTCCGTATCGGTCCAACTGAAGGTCGAAACCACATATCTCCATTGCGGTGTTTCAAAATTTCCGTTCTTAATCCATCTCTTCCATGAGAAACAATCCAAATTTACGACTTTAAAATTCGAACCAAATCTTCTGCTATCGAATACAAATCATGGAGAATTTAAGTTATATGTTGACCAGTTTCTCGAAATAAAATAAAAATTCCTACGGAAGTTTGCAACGTCGCAAAATGGAGAAACTTCGTCTCTCATTTTGCCCGAAAATATGTATGTATAAAATTGAAGGCATTATGACTGGCCTCTCTCAACTTTTATTCGTCTGTAACGATAAACAATGGGACGCGTTCGCTACGGCGCCATGATACGACTATACAACCTCGACGGATGTCCGCATTGCGTTCAAAAAATTGAAGGCGTTTTGCTTTCCTACGCATAATACCGGTAGTTGATTCGATCGACAAACGCGTTGGTCGGTGGTGACGGGGACTTGATGCAACTATTTAAGCTTGTTGGATGTCCGTGTCGGTCCGACTGAAGTTAATCGAGATAAATGTCGAATCCTACGTAGTTCCAGGCGTAGAATCGATTCCGCATGGTCCCGAGTCTCCCCGCAGCTTCCAGAGCCGAGAAAAGCTCGAAAACGAGCATTTTCGACAGTTTTTGAAAGTTCACCAAAAGCGCGTTTTCCGTCGCTGACGCGCTCCAGCGGACTTGTGGAGCTTTTTGGACCGGAAAATCGGACTCATCGGGTCGTTTCCGAGGGAAATTACTTAATTTCAGCTGAATTTGAGAACTTTCGATTTTGGCCCTCAAAAGTTACTCCACGGTACCCCGTCGATTTTTCTCGGTCGGTAAGCCAGAAGCGTCGTGTTTCTGGGATGTTGTGGAGTGGAGAAGTTAAGTTTTGTCAATGCTGAATTGTTTTTCTGTACCGCTGATTGAGCACCCAAATGGATTCTTCGAGGGAAGTCCCATGAACTGTGTCTCTGATATGACACCATACGGAAAGATTGAGGTATCAACTTGTACTGATTATGTTGAACCTTTAATTCCCCAGGTAGAATTTGCTCTTAAAAAAATTTGTTTAAAAAAACGGAATTTCGCTCGTATCCAACATGGAGAAAATTCTGAAAAAAAAAACGAATGATAATCGAAAGGAAACTGTTTGTACAATTCAAGGGGAATCACACCTTGAACTTCAACAAGGATTTCTTCAACTCATTTCGGTATATTTAAACACAATTTGTACAGTTTATGTTACAATTTTTTCTCTTTATTTTGCATAAAGTAGGAATCAATAAATATGAGTTTTAGGACTCAGTTATTGGAAGCTGATTTTGTTTCAAGAGTAAAATTTACAAAAGACTACTTGGAAGAAAAAAAAGAATGTGTCTTGACTTGTACATATGAACAATTATTAAACGTTTTTATTATAAGTGTAGATCAATGACAGTCAATGCTGCTAGGGCGCCTACCCACATAGCACAGAATATTGATATAATACTACAATAGTACTGACACGTCAGTAGTGTCAGTATTTATAAAATGCTGATGTATCCTGATTTAATATTATATCAAGACTATGCCAGTATTTATTAGTTACTGATTTGGAGCTGTCAAAATATTGTTACAGTATTGGCCGAAAAGGTTGATGTCATATGGAAATCAGGGTTATGACAAGGTCATCAGAACACTGCAGGACACCGACAATATGTATGCATTACTACCTTGACACTGACACGTCTGTACACTCAGCGCACTCTGTCAAGTAGATATGAAAGTTCAGACGATGACCGTCATTTTCATAGTACTACACATGTATTACATTTGAAACATGAATTACACAAGTATACAAGTATTGAATATTATAAACCACTTACTTGATGTCCTGCGACGTTTAGTAGCGTAAAATACCCGGACGCCCTCAGGTGGATTTGAACCCGAACCGCGGAATTCCTAGCCCAGTATTCTGCCATTGAGCCACAAGGAACTGATGGTGTTCTGGGTAGGCCTGTTAAGGCTGTTATAGCATGCATAGCATCAGTGCGCGTCTCGACTTTCATCATAACTTTGATTAACACCGTGTTTTCTTAGGCTTCTTTTTCTTCCTATATTTTTTTTTCATTTTTTCGTGTTAATTTCTTTTCGTGTTATTTTTTTTTACCTCGTCAGCATTGACTCAATACTGTTGTTTGATATATTGAGGGTATCAGTGTTATATTCATGCTGACGCGGTATACCTTTTAACCGACAATCTTAATATCATACTGCATTAGTGTTGATGATATCATGTCAACATCCAACAATATGTATCAGTATTGACATAAGATTCTGTGCTATGTGGGTACGTTTAAGTTTTAAAAGTTCCATGAGTTCATGTTGTTCCATAGGTATGTTACTTTGCTCACCAAACGGGAAAAGTATCCAAAATTAAAAATTAAATGAATAATCTTGTGTGTGTAAAATGAGGAAAATCAATGGGCACTCAAAATGTTGAAAAATTTATTTTGAATCAAATAAGGAAGCAAAGTTATTACAAAAATACAAGATTTGCAATGAGAATGAGACAAATCCTTGCAAAAAGAAGACTGATATATTCTTATCAAATTATGTAAGAGTGGTAGGAAATTGAATTGAAATGGAGACAAGTAATTAATTATCATTTTAATTTATCACTTCTCCCCCGTTTGATTCATTTATATTACAGGCCTCTTAAATTTTAGGCTTTGGGGCACACTGTGGAAGTTCAGTTTGTTTCAGTAAAAACAAAACGAAGCACAATGCTTGTGGGAAATTTTCAGGAAAATCATCTTTTATAAACTTCTGACTTCAAAAGAACAGAACTTTGGGTTGATCCTTTTAAAACTTAGTTTGACGTAATTTAACATCCACAGTTCTTATTAATTTCTGACGAGATTTCATAAATGAATGGATAAGCCTCCCTTTGCTATGGATAAATTTATGATTTCCCACCTATGCTTACGAGCAGACAAAAGCAGGCATAGATTACAAAATAAGTTTTAGGTAACATTTACTTGATGGTAACTTACTCACGCTAGACCTACGTTTCTGTGAAATGACAGAGATATACCTACCTTAACTTAATTTATATCAGTAGATGCGACTATAATATATGAGCACAGAAGAAAGTGACATCTCAGTAAAATTAATAAAACAGGAAAATCATTAATAGTTTTTACAATATGCAACAATAACAGGCATTAAAATTTCAATTATTTCAGCTCATCAAAGAAAATCCAGAGAGAAAACGACATGATGGATACTGAAAAAAGCATAGGCTATAAAATTGTGTAATATTTGGAAATTTTTAACAGAGTTTAGGGATGCAAATTTTTGAAGATTAACAGTTAGGGCCATACTCAATCTTAATGTCAAATTTCTATTTTGTTTTTTCTTCTTTCTTGTGGAAAGTGAAGGAAAAGAGGATAAAACCGAAGCATGGATTTAGCCTCAAGTTGATAGGACAAAAATGTCTATATTTGATAACCTCACTTGCTAAATTACTTGTTATTTTTGGTATGTTATATATAAATACGAATTCAAGTAAAAACTGACACCAGTGGTATACAAAAGTAAATGCAGACATAATGGGGAAAACATGAGGTATGGTATTCGTGCTGAATTATGAATGTCTTACGTCACTAAATATAAATTCTTTCAAACAAGTTATTCATTTTTCAAGGATTTGTCACTGACAAAATCATTAGTTTCAGAAAATAATTCATAAGATATCAACTTAAGTATACCTACATCTAAAAATATCACATTTATTCGAAAGTTGACTACCACTTGTAAACAGTCGATTCGCCTAAAGACAAACTTGAATGGACCACTAGATAAGGTACGAATTTCAGCATTCTGATACATGTTTCTTAACCAAAATTTTACGTAAAACACGATGCACACAACGAAAATTACCGAAATTAACTCCTTACGACGATATTTAACGATTCTTGATGCATGAATTCAAACCATCCGCTCATGAAAACTCAATGCTCTACGTGATTCACATCGCGCGCTGAACGTTATCATGACAGTCTCTGCGATATAAAAATCTGACAACCTCAATCTTGACGCTTTGGCTCAGCTGTAGCAAATTGCTTATCGTTTGAACAACACATGGTGGGAAATGAACATTGCTGATTGTGAAGCTTGCTGAAACCGTTGAAAAGCGCGATTTGACTCGCGTAGATCTTTGAGTTTCTAGTGAGCGGGTAGTTCAAATTCCTGGTAATCAATGTGAAAAAAAAACGTTAATATCTTCGTTAGGAGTTAGTTTCAGTAATTTTCGTTGCGCGAATCGTGTTCTACGTGAAATTCTGGTTAAGAAACATGTATCAGATCGCTTAAATTCGTACCTTGTCTAGTGGTCCATTGCGTAATTGAACCGGTATTTCCTTAGAGCCAAGCACCAACATCCAAGTGTCAAGAAAAACAGAATAAAGTGTGTCATTTGGCATGAGTTTAATAAGGTGAGTCTAGTTTCAATTCTTCAGAAACATGCATTTTTAAGGCTCAAAAGATTGAGTGCATGCCGTGTGGCACAGTTTTCCCCTATTTTCTCAAAACTTGGATTTTGGTGCTTATAAAATATCAGTTCAATTTCTGTACTATTCTAAGTTTTTTAAACCTCAAAAATAGAGCTTCATGAAACATGAAAAAAATTGGCGGTCAACAGAATTATAAATAAAAAAAAATATTAAAACTAAAGAGAGCTACAAACATTTGGCAGAGCGCTTAGGTTCAGTATCATAGGCCTTGATGACACAGACCTTCATCATCTCTGAACTAAACACTACCAAAAGGCAAGACTGACATGGAAGTTACAACGGCTAGAACAAGAGAGATCTCAATTGTGATCACAATTCAAAAGAGAAAGCCCGTGAATATTTTCGTTGACTTATACATCTTAGGAAGACATTTGTACACAGGCTTTAATTACTATACTTTGCAGGCTTTTACTCTGCTTTAATTTTGTTAGAAAAATGTTCCTGAAACTGACTCCCTATAAATCAGTGTAATTACTGCAGCTTCTGTAATTTTCTAGCAGCTTTCGACAAATGCACTCCTTGATTTTCATATCCACACTATCTAGGGCACTATCAAAATGATTTACTGTCTTGAAATCTTCTCATTTATTTCTCCATTCTTACAATCAAGGGGCTATGATGATAGAGGCCATAATAAAATATCATGCCATAAAAATAGTTTAAAATATGTTGGTTGCCTTGAGGCTTGAAGAGACTCAAGTACTCACATTGAAGTCATTTTATTTTCTATTCAATATTTCAGTTTCTAAAATTTTCCAGGGAAAAATGTCTTTAATTTACTTCAAAATACATGCAAAGATTTGTAACATTGCATGGTAAAGACAATCATGATGGGCAAAAACCAAGAACGATAGACTGAATAACATTTACCCAAAATACTTCACAATATAAGATTTTGTTCAAATGCAAATGCATCATTATCTGAACTGGTGTTAAATAGCCTCTTTTCACTGAATGTTGTCTGACATGACTTCCTCACCCTGTACGATTTCATTTCATTCAATCTGTGTAAACTTGAGTTAGACCAGCTATCCTTATAATATCCTAAAAAATTACGATTAAGTGCAGATTTGATAAGAAAAATACAAATTCAAGTGAACGGATTTAGAAAAATTTAAACATGACCATACAAATATTACTTAAATTACAAAGAATATCAAAGCAGTGAAAAAGAATTTTTACAATATAATTTCCAGAAATTTCGCAGGCATAAACTTCTGTGAAGAGTTTAATCGAGAGTTATACCTCGAGAGTTGTACCTTCATAAAATACTCTAGACATAATATGAAGAATGGGTATGTACTAATACGTAATCTTTGGGTAACAAAATACATGTGGCCCAATCTACAGGGTCAAAGAATTAAAATATCCTGTAGAGTATGATGAGGGCAAATAATTAAGCAAAAATTAATTAGAGACTAAGATTTTCATTTTGAACAATTGATGGCAGCAGTTAGTGAGTTACGGTTTAAAAACTATTGATATGGAATGGGTCCACTTTCGTGTTGATGAAGAAGCTATGAAAAATTTGGCACATCAACTGATCGTCCTAGAGAAGAAAATTATATTTATTCAAATTGATCATTTCTTCAAAGTTCTACAAGTTGAAATATCTACCCAGAATGGACTTTATATGGGTAGATGAAAATTTCTGAAAAAATCTACGAAAGTTCCGGCTTGATTCAGCTGGTCAATCATTTTTGGAGTAGATTTAGTAGTAAGAGTAGTAGTCGTCATTTTAGTAGTACCTTTTGATACAAAAGGAGGGGAAGCTAACACAGTAAAGTAGTTTGTAATGTAGTTGAATGGGTTAATGTACATTCTTTAGGCTCATATCTGTGAGAGTCTCTTGATTTTTGCAATCCACATCGGGACATCAATGACCAAAGTCAAAACTACATGTTTCTTTTCCAATGTTTCAAAATTTCCGATCCTTGGTTATTTTTTTGGGGAGACAAGTCAACTTTACAGCTTGAAACTCATACAGAGTATTCTGTGTATAGAGGAAAAAATTCAAGAGAGTCTCTAAGAAATAGCGTTCTCTGGTTTTCGAAAGAAAAAAATACAGTACAATGGGAAGTCTACATTGTCACAACTGGTTTTGCACTTCGGCCATCAACATTTTAACTACGTAACAACTTAAAAACTATGACTAAATTCGTTTGTTTCACCATGAATGATTCTACTTTCTTAATAATACAAAATTTTAAACATGGATACATGTGATGATTCTGGATGTGCAACTCTTTAATTGCGACAACAAACTCTTTTGGAGTTCACATCTAGGTAATGTATGGCACCAGGATGTATGAGAAATGATGTTTGAATGAGAAAAATTGCAGGTTTAGTGTAAACTATGCAAGAAATCTCAATCATGCACAGAGACATGCTTTAAAAGTGCTAATGAAATTAAAACATCTTGAGTCGAGAACCACAGGAAAGGCACAGGATTCCACTTTATGGAAGGCTGAAAGAGAGATAAAATAATACAATTTAAAAAAGTGAAATTCGCTCAATGAACCAGAAAAATCTGGAGAATGATTACGTGAGATAATAGTTATCCATGGATGAAAACTAAGAACCGTAATAAAATTCTTTGAATATTACCTGTAGGGAACAGCTTCATTCTTCATTCAAGAAAATATCAAGTATCTCTCAAGCTGTCAACAAAATCTTATTGTTTCATCCAAAATTTATTTTAAGGGTTTGCTTTTACTGAGCTTTGCACTTCAATGCCTTTAAAATTTTGGAATCATTCAAAGAAAAGAAAAAATTATACAATGTGCTAGCTCGTTTACTTAGACATGAAAGCTGAGTTAAACTTCTTGACTCACTAATAAGCAACAAATAGAGAGAGTCATGTTGAGAACGAATGGTGGAGAAGGTAAAAAGTTACTACTATCTTAACTAAGTTGGTTTTTAATTTAGTAGATGAATGCAAAAATAAAGAAATAAATTTTAAATCATACTTAATGTAGCCTTGTGCATACGAAAAAATCCTAAAACTGACTCTGATAGATGCGTTTTTAACTTACATTGCAGCAATGGGCTATGCATTAATAAAACCGGCTGCAATCCATGCAGATCAAGTTTAGCTGAGAGAAATCCTCCATTTAATTACATGGAATGGATGAGATATTTAAGTTTGAAAGCTGAATTGTTAGAATCTTAGTCTGTTGTTTGACATTTGGTGCCTTATAAATACAACAAATGAAAAAAAACACTAAGAAGTGGCCCGAACCGTACATAACGAGGTGGAGAAATGGTACTGGGTCCACACCATTTCATGGGGAAAACAAAGCCAAGAATTATAGTTAGTGTCAAAATTAAATTTTTTGAACTCTAATGCGTACCAGAACGAAACTGAGGGGGGAGAGTGTTCAGCTCAGGCAGTTTGCATTGGAATGTTAAGTTGGAGTCACGGCAAGAGATCTATACCAGTTTGGGCCTTTTTAGACCTCATCAGCAGATCACACTCGGCAGTCAATCCAACTTAACATGCCGCAAAATCCAAGACAGCATTAAAGTGCCGGCATTAAAAACAAACTCTCATAACAAAACAAGGAAAACCTGAAAAAATGATTATCAGGAACACTCTCCACTCTCTCCTCTCTCCACTCTCAATGAACACTCTCCCCCCTCAGTTTTGTACTGGTACGCATTAAATTCAAAAAATTTAATTTTGATTCTAATTATAATTCTAGGCTTTGTTTTCCCCGCGAAATGGTGTGGACCCAGCGCTATTTCTCCACCTTGTTAAATACAACAAATATTTATACTTGGCACCAAAAATGAATTTACAGAACTGTAATTAGAGATTGCAAATAACAGTTAAAGCCCTAATAATTCCGAAATTCATGAAAAAGAAAGTAGATCTTACCTCTGATGAAGAAAAACAGTGCAGTATTCTCAAATGATGGTTGGCAAATCGTCTAAAACCTCCACTGAAATTCGGAAGTAGAGCGATTCACTGATTTGAGACTGGGCTTTCAGTAGGGGCTGAGGTAATGGCAGGCTCATCAGTGTCCTTGAGGAGTTCTGCAGAATCTGGGGAGCTCTTGCAATCTCGCCTGACGAGGAGAATCCCATAAATGATAAGAACGGCACCCAGCATTGACACAGCAATGAGACCGTACACTATGTATGCAGGCATGACTGAGACGATCCAGATACCATCGGCAAGTTCTCGCGTTACTAGCATGTGCTGATCAAACCAGAGTGCTGGGAGAGTAATTTCTGGTAACTTATCGAAGATTCTGAGAAAAACATTTACAAAGCTGTTTAATTGAAAGGTTTCGATAAATACGTACTCTATAATATTGGAAAAAATAAGTGACTTAGAACGTAATGATATCAAACTCCGGCACCTTCTATTAAGAATGATCTTGGACTAACAAGTTTAATCGGTCTAAATACAGAAATCAGACTGCCTGAAAATGGTACATCCTACTCTCTCGCTGATGGAGACTTTACATGCAAGCATTTTATTGGAATATACAGAAGTACTAATTGATCTGAGTTGTTAAGTTCCAAAACAAACGAAACCATACCTATTTGGTTTTAATGAAATTATTTTATTTTCTAATGCTTGGTCTTGATAAGAACAATAGAATTTCATATATGAGAGAATTCAAATATTAAAGAATTCAAAGAAATTCTGGGTGGAAAGTTGAAGTATTTATTGGGAAAATTTGGAATGAACATAAAAGAAACCTGAGTGAGGTGAGGATCCAGTATTTTATTTAAGATCTCTAAAATTTTAGAGCCCTCCTGAGGTGAATGAAAAAACTTTATGAAGATATCAACACTGAGGTAAAAAAACAATAAGATCTTACCCATAGCCTGGAGTTGGACTAGATTGAACATTTATTTGAAGACGGGCATTTACAATCAATGGGATGCCGGTATTCTGAAATTTAAAAAGTAAATACAGTTTAAATCATCTATGTGGGTAAGTGAAAAAACAAAGTCAAAATTAGGAATGTAAGTGACTTTTTTGGAAAGACACTCCCAAAATCTATGCTTAGCACTTGGTAAAATAACTGACATGTTAAACAAGGAGTCTAAAAATGCTCATTGAAAAATTAGCATTCATAAGACTTTGATGGCACGCATTATTTAGGAGTGCTAACTTAAAATCAAATACGAAGCTAAATCAAAAGTATTAAAGTTAAATAGTTGAAAAAACAAAGAGATTTTGAAAAATCTCGGAAAGGGTACTTTTTTAAAACAATTTTTTTGTATCAATACAAAGGCTGTCCCAAAACACTGTCTATCATCTTCGTCCTTGACAAGTCAGCTGGCACTCACAGACGCCATTTTTAAATCATTTTCATTGATTGAGGCGAGCACTCTATCATCTCACATCAGGACCTCACGTTACACCCCCGTCTAAAAGATGATGCTGCTGCTGTCTCAGAGCAATATTTTTCATACTTACAAGTTTTGCAGACCTCTCTACTTGCCGGGAATTAAAAGGCAAACCGTAGCAGTTAGCGTGTTAAAAACCATAAAAAATATTAAAGCGCAGTTTCTAGAGTGCTCTAAAACAAGTTATTAGCTTCAGAACAAGATTAAGATGAGTAAATTTGATTGATAATCGACAAATCTACAGCAATTTTACAAAGACATGTGAAATATACGCTTACAGGTCTCTTGAAAAACTCCTGGTGGAGTATAATAAACATGCCTCCATAAAATTGCTGTAGATCCATCAATTTCCAACAAAAAAGCTCATCTTGGTTTTGTTTTAAAGTTAGTAAATTGTTTCAGAGTCTCTCACAAATTGCATGCTTGAGGGTGTCGTCAGTGTCCATTATTCAGTTCTTTAGAGATAGCACTTGTACGTAACTACCATAATTAATATAGTATTCAAACTCAAAGACTAAAACGTTTATTTTCAAAAAATGCTGCATTGAATTTTTTTGAAACTGAATTTTTGACGGTAAACTAATCCTTATGAGCGAATGCATCTTGAAACAACTCAGCATGAGATTTTAAAAAAATCCGAATCGGCACCATTAACCTAACCTAACCTAACCTAACCCGAACGGTTATGAATGGTTTCACTATAAAAAGAGACCTCTAAGATCTTCCTCACCTTTTCAAGAGAAATTTTGAACTGATGATTTTCTACTGATGGAGAAACACCATCAATAGCTTTAGCATAGAATTCGTCCGCAAGATAGAAATGGGGGAATGATATGAGGATTGGAGCACCAAATCTGCATGAAGACAAACTCCTTACACCTTTCCGCAATTGTGTGCCATTGGCTAGGTAGCACTTATTCTCAGGAAACAGTGTTCCATTGTCAAAAACATTTTCTGCGCCAACAAAAGTCGTACCATCTAACCCATCCATTGACATTCTTCCATTTTTTTGAAGAACCAAAGAACTGTGAAAAAAAGAAAGGAATTCATGTCAGTGCAAATTTTCACTAAACAGTTCACAATACTTAAAAGACATCGAAGAAGTATTACGAACAAAACTCTCCTTTCAGTTGATTCTATGTGATCTAGGGATGAGATTCTCCACCACGTTACGCTACTATGTGGTTTGGGACTATGAGAAGCAACAATTATCTTTACGTACATGTTAATGCAAGAAACTGATCCATAATGTATAGCAGCATTAATTCGGAGTAGAATGACACCAAATTTGTGAATATTCATGGAAAATTTATGCTTAAAACTACAATAACGGACAACACCTATTGACTCAATTTGTGAGAGAGATAGCGCTATAATAACTCTCTCTTACACATTGAGTCAATGGGCGGCGTTGGTTATCGTAGTTTAAAGTATAGTTTTGCGATGGAATCTAAACAAATTTGGTGTCATTCTACTCCGTATTAATGCTGCTATACATTATGTATCAGTTTCTTGCATTATCTTGTACATTCCAATTATTATTGCTTCTCAAAGATGTTAATCATGCATGAGGCAGCGCAGCATTGTGGCGAATCTTGTCCCCACATCACATAGAAGCACCTTAAATATTCCTCTAAACTTGTCTTGAGTTCTCTCTGAGAAATTTAATCATGATCCAAAATTTGTGTAACTCAATCTAGGAATCATGTTTCTTATCTACATACATACAAACACTGATTAATTCTAAAAATTCGAAAAACCAGAGACAAAACAAGAGAAAGTCAAAAAATAAGAAGTCCAGAGTCAGCAGTCTTTCCAACATGATCCATACATTATCTATACCCTCTCCCAAATTAACTGAAAAATAGAACAATAGCTACCTGCACAAATCAGATGCATATAATGTGACATTGTTTTCCTTTGCAGAGCTGGGAGGCCATATATCTCCTGTCGTGCCTTTCACTTCGCCACATTTTCCCTCAAAAAATTCAGTCCTGCTATTATAATTCCATGAGTTCAGAACGCCTAGATTTTTTAGACTGTCCACTCCAGTACCTACATTGCAAATGCCATCAAATTCTGATGACATGTTATGCTAGAAAAAAATAATAGAATTAATGGCAAGGTACTTAGTAATATCATTTTTAATTTTACAGCTTCAGTCTTAGGAAATGGAAGAAATCATCATAAAGGAAGATCATAATGATAATCAAAACTAAGAGACTTACTTCGGCTGAATATTGGCTGCATTCTACCTCATTCTCTCTGTTTTAAGAAATTGTGACTTTTTCCTCATAAAAATGTTTCGAAGTTGCCTAAAGTTCAATATGTTCACACTTGACTTTGACTAAAATGCACAAATTTCTAAATTTCTGAAAGGCGTTGATTTCTAATTCTGCCAAAGCTCTCGAGGTGATTTTTGAGCCATTTTTCATAGGGGACAGTTTATACTTCCGCTCTGGCTAAAGTTTGCAGGAGACCCATTTCTATCTCATGGGATAAAAAACTGACAGATATGTAAAGAGATAGCATTTTAAAATGGACCACTAGACCAGGTACGAATTTAAGCATTCTGATACATGTTTCTTACCAAAATTCCACGCAAAACACGATTTGCGCAACGAAAATTACCGAAACCAACTCCATACGAAGCTATTATCGTTTTTATTTCACATTGGTTACAAGGAATTTAAACTGCCCGCTCACAAGAAACTCAAAGCTCTACGTGAGTCAAATCGCGCACTACAACGGTTTCAGTAAGCTTCTCAATCGAGCAATGTTCATTTCACACCATGTGTTTTCAAACTATGAGTAATTTGCTATAGCTAAGCCAAAGCGTCAAGATTGAGGTTGCCAGATTTTTTTTATCACAAAGACGTTCATGATAACGTTTAGCGCGCGATGTGAATCACGTAGAGCATTGAGTTTTCATGAGCGGGTGGTTTGAATTTACGCACCAAGAATCATTGAATATCTTCGTTAGGAGTTGATATCGGTAATTTTCGTTGTGCGCATCGTGTTCTACGTAAAATTTTGGTTTTAGAAATATGTATCAGAATGCTGAAATCCGTACCTTGTCTAGTGGTCCATTGGTAATATCATTAAAGAATTCTTCGTGCCCAAGTTTTTTGCCTTGGTGTGTCACACCGAAGAGAAAATAAGAGCCTGCATTGAATAGGGAAAGAGCTTGACCTGATCTTCCTGCGCAAGCTTTTCAGCCAATCAGATACCTAACGACCACTTTTGAATTCCTTTTGGAAAATAAAACAGAAAATCAAAACCATATATTTTTTTCGAATTTAACCGACTTTTCGGGACTAATATATCTATGACTGACTTCTCGAGGATTTGGCATTTCTACTGATGTATAATACATCCCACTTTCTCGAAAAAAAACCAAAGATCTTGATTTTTCAGTTTTCAATTTTCTTTAACTTTAGTTGATGTTTTTGATTATTCCACTGACGCAAATGGAAGAAAATTGAAAAATAAAGATCTTCCAAGCTTTTTGGAGAGAGTGGGATGTGTTATACGTCAATAGAAACGCCAAACTCTAGAGAAGTCTGTCATGGGCGTGTTTTTCCCGAAAAATCGGCTGAATTCGAAAAAAATGTTTGTGGTTTGATAATTTGATTTCCCATGTTATTTTACTTAAGGAATTCAAAAGTGATCGTCGAGTGTTTGATTGGCTGAAAAGCAAGCGCAGGAGGATCAGGCAGTCAAACACTTTTCCTATTCAGTGTGGGCTCTTGTTTTCTCTGTGTGTCACACATGAGTTGAGGTTTGCAGAAGAAAAAATGCAGCATCTCTGAACAATAATCTTGAACAAGAGTCTGTTTGAACCCAGTAGAATCTGGCGATTGTTAATGCTGCTAGTTGTACAAAACTAAGCAAAATACACTTTTTACTGTATCGTTTCACTGGATCGTTTTATAAGAGCTCATCTATTCTGTAGGTGAATATTGTTTAAATTAAGTCATGTTAAAGTTGGGTTTTAGAAGATTCTATGCTTCAACCGTTCATCTAAAGAAGCAGACAAGTGTCAAATTGCCGAGATAGTTACCTTGGACTGATTGAATGACTTCCCTTTAGCATTTACGCCGATAAAGCGTTTTATTGAATTGTGTACAAGAGGTGACCGCATTAAGCTAACAGAATTTATCTTCACAAGGATTAAAAACACTTGGTGGTAGCAAAATTTGATGAAACCTTGGGTAGTTTTAAAAAAAAGTGTGGGTATGCAAAAATGATGCCATTTAAATTGGGTGGCCAAGAAATAAGAGAACTTACTGGGTAGAACCAACCAAATCTCTTCGCCATGGCTGGATGAGGAAAGATCTTTTGCGGCAACTTGTCCAAAGCGGCCAACAACGGGTCATCATACCCTTCGTAAAGCAGCTGCCGCACAGACTTGCTGACGTACGGTTTTGTTTGAATAGCTCGGAGAGCAGCTTCTATTGCAAGACGCTTGATTAATGATAAGTCTTTACTTTTTAAAAGAGAGGCCACAGTCTAGAAAAAAAGAGAAAAAAAATTATTAAAGGGGGAAAAAATCACAAAAATGTAAAAGAATACAGGGCTATTAGAGATGCTGAAAATGACTTGACGGTAAAACTCAGATGCCAGACATCTTGATATTGAGGTCTCAGATCCCCTCCTATTTTGTTTTAAGGAAAATGAGCTAACTCTGGAGTTTGAAACTTTTGCGATACATTCTTACGATGGATAAAGAAAAATCACCAAAGTTTTCAAAAAATTACAGGGAATAGCTTCCTGATTAAAAAATAAAGCATGATAGGAAAAGTGCAAGGTCACAAGCCAAGATGCCATGTTCCTGATTTTAGCTACCTAATCTGATCTTTCTAAAATCTCTCAGTATGAGAGAATTGAATCTCTTGGACAAAATCATAACCTCATAAATTATAATCATCCATCAACATGAAACTGGACATAATAATTACATCATTCATGCATCATCATGTAGCCTTGAAAAGGAACAACCCGCGATTTTCGGATGAATTTTCAAATTCATGCATATTTTTTTTTTTGTCTCAAAGACATTAATCACCCTTTTTTCATTCGAAATAAAACCTAAATATGAGTAAATATGCGAACACATTAAAAGTCTAATTGAATCTCCGGATAAATTTTTGTGCAGTCATCATAATTGGGTTTTTTTCTTTGTGTTTTGAATACTGATCTGAGGCATATGTTTCCATTTTTTAGGGTGCAACCAAACATTTTTGAACCTGGGTGTCAACATTTCAGAATTATCAAAGAGCAACTGCATGAAGTTACGAAGAAACACAACAGTAAAAATGGAAAAACTGGGTAAAAAAGGCTGAAGTGTTGGAACACTAAAAAGGCAGGACATTTCAAGCCGTCACATACTCATTTTCAGCTGCAAAAGTGATCGAAATCAATGCAATTAAATAATTAAGTTGAGAGGCAACCTTATCCCAGTTGTTTATGAATTTGGTATTAACATTGAATGTTTTTGCGGCTGAAAAAGGGCCTGTGACGACTTAAAATGTCCCACCTCCTTTTACCTTCGTTTAGCCTTCTTTTACCTATTTTTCCAATTTTTTTCGTTCTCATATTTTTGGGCTTTGTGGTTTGTATTAATCATTATGAAAGAACTTACAAAAAATATTGGGTTGACAGATGTTATTGTGTCGTCCAATGATAAATTAGTCCTTGTTAAATTCTTCATGAAAATCCATTTGCGAACTTGCATGAAAGTGACGGTACTATTCTCATTCCATGTTATATTTTCTTTCTTGTGATACTCTCTAGAACAGAAGAGAACGTTAGTAGGGGGGTCAAAACATTTGAAGTATGCTGAGAAGAAAGATACAGATTACATGATTACATTCTAAGTCATAAGAGTTGAGTATAAAGTACTGTCGGTCAAAGAAATAATGTAAACAACTGAAGTACTTTCTTTATGTGTGTGCGTTATTAACTGAAGTGCTATCCTTCTAATTATAAAATTGACTCCCTGAGAAAGACAGTATATTAATGATGCAATGTAGAATGGAACTTGATAATGAGACAATGATAACATTTCTTTTTCAAAATGCCTACATATGGTTAACGTAATTTAAGAAGTGATAGTAGCAGTGATTGCCCACTCAGCAGGATTGGTTGAAATCGAGAATTCACCTAACTTTTGTTTTAAGAGGGCGGATAAAGACATTTTCACTGAATTCAGTGGAATTTGAGGTCCAAGACTTCAAGTAAAAGAAGAACTTAGATCCACTAATTTTCCAATCTTTTTTTCTTCCTTCGATGATTCAGTTTTTCAACAGACTGCTTTCAGGACTGATTTAATCTCAATACGCCAGGGAGTAAAGGCTCTTAAAACCTTACTTCCTTACCTCAAACAAAAAGCTCAGTAGGAAATTTTAAAGTTTTTTTTTTGGAAATTTAAAGATAAAAAATGGATGAATGCCTAAGAAAACCTCAGCTTTGCACATAAATAATGATGATCATTCTAAAAGCAGATACTCACTAATATTTAGTGCCCATACAATTTTCATCTGCATCATTAATCTACTTCGTTTTACCAGCGAACAGCGTTTTTAAGAAGCAAATTTTATCGGAGAGGAAACATCGCCGGTAGCAAGTGGAATATTAATACTTCCAGAAAGAAGCTAATAATTAGGCAGAAAATGTAGTTAGGAGAGCTCATACCGGAAAACATATGGTCCTTTTTCGACAAATTTTGGTTTTTCAGTACCATCTAAAGTCCTCTCTGGATTTGCCCAATGGAAGAGATAGAAGTCCATGTAAATTGGTACTGGTGGTTCTCTCCACATGGCGAACGTTCGCGTGTCATTTCTCAACATCAGTTGCTGCAAAAAGAAAAATTACGAAAAAGATAACTATTTACTCTTTTGAATAAGTTTGAAAAATCTTGTTGGGCTCATTACGCTATTCTACCTTGGTGTCTCCAGAGAAAAACAAGTGTCAAGAATAAATATAAAGGTAGTACATTAGACAGTTCAAATGAAACTTAATTATATCTTGCTACAGTTATTTGAAATTTGGTTAGAACTACATGCCTTGTCATTTTAATCAAGCGACACATTATACCATACGTACAGAACTTTTTTTTTTTAAAACGACTTTGTACACAAGGTACTAAGGTTGTGCGATGGAGTGAAGAGGTAGGGTCTGTATTTAAACTGGAAAAATCAACTTCATCCAGAATTATAACAGAGATGAGTTAATCTCTGAATTGCTACAGGGGATTCACACCTCGCCCATACAATTTCATATACATCCTGGACACTGTTTTATGAGTTTGCCCATATCTCTACTAAGAGCAAAACGAGTGATTACAAGTCTCCCAGTGTTTGTTTTAGAATGACCGCTAGGATCTTAAATTTGAACACCTTTTTAAAGCTTAGGATTTCAGACTTAACCACGAGCGCTGTTGCGTTTCTCCAGGTATTACACGGGCTTGAGATAAAACTTTAAAATCCATTTCAAAATCTGCAATCTGTATCTTTAAAAATTTTATGGCAATCAGAGGTACCATTTTAGTCACCATTTAAGTAATCACTCACTGCAGTGTTTTTTTCCCCATAAATAGCGATTTTATCGGTTGATTGTCGCGATTATATCATTGGCAATTTATCGCAATATTATCGAATAAAAAATTGCGATTTATGGCGATTAAATCGCTATGCATTGCAATTTTTTGTTCAATAAAATCGCGATCACTTTTCGCCGATAAAATCGAGATTAAATCGCCATATATCGCGATTTTTGTTGCGATATTATCGCGATAAATTGCCGGGCTATAGAATCGCGATAAATTGCCGGGCTATAAAATCGCGATTTTATTGCAACAAGCTCAGGGATAATCGCTCAGATGTTGATGATCTTAGCGATTTTATCGCCGACAAAATCGCAAAAAATTGCTATTTTTCCGTTGAAAAATGCTACTTGGGTCCTACGTCACGATAAAATCTGCGAGTATTTCCTCCGTGTGTTCTTCCAGAGCACTCGTTCTTTTTTCGTATGGTAGACACCTTGTACACAGGCGAGTGCCGCTTATATTCTTACCGGCTCGATGACGGTACGGTAGATGGAGGGCCAGAAGCCGCTGAGGAGGGCTCCTCCCAGGAGGAAGATGGTGCCAAACCCGAAGAGGAAACATTTCTGCGCTATCGCCCAAGGCGTCATCCTGAGCCGCCCGGGGACTTCGGTTCCGAGAGATGGAAATACCGGGGTCCGTCCCCGATCCGCAGAGCGGATGCCTAGATTCCGAACGCAGCCATCACAAACTTGCACCTGCAACCATAAAAATTAACCATTAAAACATTCACTATGTCCTATGACTATTGCTCTATTGGTAACAATATTAATCAGAGAGATAAAATGCGTTTCAACGTGTATTGTGCGGTTGTTATCAATTCGCCTTCAGCTGCGTCCGCAGCAATTGTTGTTACGAATATGTTGTGCGTGCTAATCTCAGCCCATTACATACTTGACTCTCTGGAGGCGTTTTATGTGCGAAAGTAGAGCACCCTGTCGGATAACAACAAAAGTGAGATCGAATGAAGCGCTCGATCCCTACTTCGTTCCTTCTCCGACAGATAGAGGTACTTGCGCATATATGACGCCTTCAGAGAGTCAAGTATGTAATGAACTAAAATCACCACGCACAACATATTCGTAACTACAATTGCTGCTGACGCAACTGAAGGCGAATTGTTTATTTAAAAAAGAGAGTATGAAGGTATTTTGCACGTAACGAGAGATTCGATCGACATGAATCGAACGAAAAAAAAAATGTGAACCGATCAACACCGATTCAATGGACAGGTAAATATAAGAGCGGATCAAAATCAGAAAAAAAACAAGCATTTACTGTGAAAATTTCCAATTGCGATACCTCGAAATCAGGATCAGCCAAGATTTTGATTTTTTGCGATTTAAGTCCACGCTTAATAGAGACTCGCACCCCTTGCAAGCCGTTTTTAGGGTCATTTTTATCGCTTTCTTTTTTTGTTTGTGTGTTTTGTTTCAAGACCACTGTGGCAAACCACTAGAGCCTTTTTTGGTTGTCTATTGGGAAACTCGACACATTCTTCCTTTCTTGTTGGTAGAGCACAGAAAGAGTTGTTTGGAAAACTTACTTTGATGTTTGACAGTGTATACTAAGTTCTATTTCCTTTTCTTTCATGAAATTACAGTACGGTAAATCTAGTGGGAAATGCACTGAACACACGAACTTTCAAGATTTCCTATTCATTTGAGCAGAGTTCCATAAAATAAAAAAAAAGCTTGCTCCATCGTACTGACAAAGTGTTTGTTTATTCCAGACATACATGCGGCGGCAAGTTTGACAAAAAATGAAGGATGTTGAAAAGTGATTCATAGCCTTATCTCTCAGCCAATTAATTTCACTGTAAAGCATTAATGAGAGAGTATTCAAAGCGAATGATAATTGACTGATAATGAAATGAAATTATTCTAACGTTATGGCGGTGCATCATCATAAAAACAACCCTACCGCGCTCGGAATAATGCCTACGTCTGTATAAAATAGGATTATCGCCTGCAGATATTGCATGGAGCTTCTGCACGGGTCAAGTTGAACTACGTTGAAGCTCTCCACGTGAGTAGGGCGTTCTTCCTTCTTCTCCTCACTCTATGGAGTCTCCGTGGCGAAGCGTGAAATTATCGATATTTTCCCATTTGAAGCTATTGAAGCTACCCTGTTCATCGATCCTTTTCCATAGGTTTAAATGACAGATAAATCTATACATCAGAAAGAACGCCACGCCACTGTGGAGTCTTGAGGAGTAAAATCTATATGGTAGATGAAGGTCGAGGTGTTCATTTCGAAAGATTTTGAAACAGTTCATCATTCCTGGATCGCGTTGGGCAGAAAGAAACCAAACCAGAAACATCAGCTTTTGCCAAATTTAACTGGGTAATTTAATTTTTTACAAGTGAACGTTTCCGCGGATTCTTTGGAAAATGTTAAGGAATTTGCTTCGTGTTATGCAGAAAATTTACTCAAATTTGCAGAAAAATCTGCACAACCCGTTCTCTTGAAAATATTTAAATTTAACTAGTTAAATTTGGCGATTGTTGAAGTGGCATGGTGCCTTTCTGCTAAACGAGGTCCATATAATGGGGTGATGGCGATACAAATGCATATTTTCCGAATAGATACCTGTTCGTGCTCCGCGGTGTGTTTGTTGCCTATGCGGTAAAATTGAAGGCAAACTTCAGGTAGACAATACAGTACCTGACAGTACCTGTCCATAAGTTTACCCGTGGTCTATTGGTTCCATATAAGTTTAAAGAGCGAGAATGATGTGTGTTTTTCGAATAGATAACTATGTGTGCTCTCCGGTGTGTTTGTTGTCTATGCAGCTAGATTGAAGGCAAAATGTAGGTAAGGAGACGATATCCATCAGGTTAGCAATGTCGTTTATCGGTTCGATTAAAGCTTGGATCAAATCAATCAAAGCGCGATGGAGTAACATAAATATAAGATATCTGGCAATAGGTTCACGTATTGTCTATTGGTTCTAGCGAGGTCTATTGAAGAGGGAAACTTAATTTTAAGTTTTTAAACAGCCACAACTCCAGCCAGTACAACTTCCCGGTAGATTTCACCGGAAAGTCACCAGAAAATCACACGTACTTAATTGGTTTATAAGTCACCTTTAATCCGGCCCTGCACTCTCAAGTTGCAGTGATCGCGATACGTTGCACCGCGATTTCATTGATGTCGATTTACTGCAATATTATGGGATAAAGAATTGCGATTACTTGCAATTTGATCGCATAAATTTGCAATGAAATCGTGATTTTATCGACGGCAATTTATCGCAATATTATCAAAAAAAAAAAAAAAACGGTCGTGATGAATTGAAATAAAATTTCGATTTTATTGAAGTAGGTTTTACCGACATAAAATTGCGACAAGTTTGAGGATAATTGCTCAGATGTTGATGATCCTAGGGATTATACATCGTCAAAAAATCGTAATACAAATCGTGACTTAATTTTTGAAAAACCGCTATTTGTATGGTTGAAAAATGCTACTTGGGCTAACCGAAGATTAACAAATGGATAGACTGTGTTTTTTATGAGTCTTTTAGAATAGTATTAGCAGCGAGAATATATTGGAAAAGTTAAGAATTTTCGGTTCTGGTCAAGAACATATAAGAGGGTTTAGAATATGTTTTGAGTTGGATCATCTCACTGAGCACGAAACATACGGAACGAAATCTAGAATTATTCCATGATCAATCATTTTTGCGAAAATCATGACGTTTTTCGGGTTTCCCTGATGAAAAAAAAAAAAAAAATCCATCGATGTTTCCATTCCCGGATTTCTAGGTTGACAGAATATCGGGCGTATGTGATGCCAAAGCTTCATTTTAAAAAGTTAAAAAAAAAAAAAAAAAAAAAAAAAAAAAAAAAAAAAAACCGTAAACAAAAGTTGAAGTCCGGCTTCACTGCGCGCAGTTTATAGGATACGATAAGTGAGAATATGAACGATTGAAGCAGCTGCAATCCCATATTACGATCCATTAAACGTCCGAAATCGATTCAACGCGATCGATCAATATAGGACGTACTTCAATCAAAAAGAATCATCCCGCTTATGACAGGGACTCTACGACCCGTAAGAATACATGCATGGTAGGGTCTATGTCACAGTGGAGATAGTTCTTTTTCATTTAAATCAGTCCAATAGACCTCGCGGTCCAGCACTCGTAGAGAAAGTAGTACATTACTACACGCTAGACGAGCGTTCAATACTACCGCACCATAAAAAACGCCGTATGAACATTCGAGTGTTGCCAAATTTGATCCGATAAAATATTTACTTTTGAAAATATTTTTGCACATTTTTCTTTTGAAATTTGCAGACAATTTAGATTAAATTGCATACAAAATTCTGTGAAAAATTCAAATAAAATTATGCATTGATTCTCAAGAAAATCCGGTTTTTATCAGCAAATATTTGGCAACGTTTAAGAGACCATACAGCATTTTCCCACAAAATAGAGCCTCGGTGACGCGATGATTTCGTTCTGGTGAGAATAACTTCGTAAGAATTGAACTAGCTTAAGCCTAATTCCCCTCTCTTGCGCCTGCCATCGCCTGCATAATATGAATATTGGGCAATTAACGAACAATAAGTTTTGATGGTACTTATTGTTAGCCGATACAGGTATAGCCTGCTTCAAAATTATGCAAGAGCCCTCTTTAAAAAAAATGGTGCGGGTGCACTGTGCAGTGTCAGACGCTTGTACGAACGCTCTTGCCTCATGAAAAAATAAATAAATTAAGCTACCAATCGAGTATTATACTTGGGGAGGGTGAGAGAGCAATAGACCACTAGACGAGATGTAACTTTAAGCATTGTGATATATGTTCTCCCATCAAAACACGTAGAATACGATTTGCCCCGCGAAAGTTGCATAGTAATCCCTTAGCGAGATATTTATTCATGATTCAATCCTCGATTTTTCCAGCAGTTATGCAAGAGCATGAAAAATTATGCGTTTTTCACCTCAAGATCACGGCAGAATACGCGATTTTTCTAGAAATTTTCTTAGAGCCTAAGAAGTAATACGCAAATTTCACCTCAGCATCGCGAGAAATAAGCGATTTTTCCGGTGGTTTTTTACGGGAAAGCGAAGAACTATGCGTATTTCATCTTAATATCGTAGCAAATACGTGATTTTTTCAGCGGTTTTAGAACAATGAAAAATTGCGCGTTTTTCACCTTAATTTCGCGGCTAGTACGCGATGTTTCCAGAGGTTTTGAAAAAAACATGAAAAATAGCTCGCAGTTTCCAGATGAATATCCTAACATTCAAAATTTCCGCTGAATTCTCGGACTATAGCATTAGGGCGTACCATTTACCAAACAAAATTATGCTGGAAAAAATGTAACATGTATTAAAGTATCCATGCGCACAGCAAACTGGACTTTACTCCGCAAGAACTAATTTTCAAGAGGACGATGCTTACCAAGTAGTGGCGATTTTACGAGTTGGCAACACTGTTTTTCCTCTATTTAAGTCCATTAAAAATATCGATCTCAGATGAGGCAAGCTGCCTCACTATATATCGATTGTTTTACATGCATTTTAATGGAGAAAAAGCAGTGTTGCCAGCTTTTAAGAATCGCCGCACTGTTGTCGAGGTGGGTCTAAAAAAATACATCATCAGTATCCCAAAGAATTATTCGTAAGCATGGGAAATGCTACCCTTGGATTACCTTCACCTTATACTATCTTCAATGGTTCACC